TGTCGAAGTCACTGTTGCAGTCACTGTTGCAGTAAATTTGTACCCCTCTCCTACATCCTACATGACTGCTCCCCAAGCGTCAAATTACAGTAACTGTTGCAGTAGCTTTTGCAGTAATTATTGCAGCGACTGTTGCAGTCAGTGTTGCAGTCAGTGTTGCAGTAACTGGCGCAGTTACTGTTGCAATGACTTTTGCAGTAACTGTTGCAGTAACTGTTACAGTAACTTTGTGCCCCTCTCCTACATCCTACATGACTGCTCCCCAATCGTCAAATTACAGTAACTGTTGCAGTGACTGTTGCAGTGACTGTTGCAGCAACTATTGCAGCCACTGTTGCAGTAACTATTGCAGTAAATGTTGCAGTGACTGTTGCAGTGACTGTTGCAGTAACTGTTGCAGTAACTGTTGCAGTAACTGTTGCAGTGACTGTTGCAGTAACTTTGTGCCCCTCTCCTAAAGCAATGCACCGAGCTGCATCCGCCCTTCCCCCACTGACCGATGTTCGGACGGACAGTTAAGCAATTGGTCTAACAAGGGAATGATAACGAATCTCAAGATTGATCCAACAATCAATCTAGGAACCGGAAACCAGTCTTGACAATTGAGGAGACCATCAGAGCTTACTCACACCCGCGATGTCCTAGATGTATCGGACTGCAATTACGACCAGACCTTAATTAATATAAGCGCAATCACGTCCAGAGTGTAGTAGAAAAATTCCTAATGAGAGTTATGCCCTCAATCTCAAAATAGGATCAGATCCTCAAGAGGTTAAGGGAAAGGCCGATGGGCAGGGATTCTAGACAATCCCGCTCAATGGAACTACTGTCCTGCCGCTTTTGAACACACCCTCTCTCTCTCTCTCTCTCTCTCTCTCTCTCTCTCTCTGGCCCGCTCGTTCACTCGGTAACCTCGCACACATAACAGACACAGATTCGAGCATCTCTGTCTCTGTCTGTCTGTCTGTCTGTCTGTCTGTCTGTCTGTCTGTCTCTCTCTCTCTCTCTCTCTCTCTCTCTCTCTGTGTGTGTGTGTGTGTGTGTGTGTGTGTGTGTGTGGATCACTCGGTCCCTCGGTCACCTGGCAAGCATAACGGACACAGATTTGAGTCTCTCTCTCTCTCTCTCTCTCTCTCTCTCTCTCTCTCTCTCTCTCTCTCTCTCTCTCTCTCTCTCTCTCTCTCTCTCCCCTCCCCACCCCTGTCCATAAGCCTGAGTCTGTCCACTACCTTGCCCCCCGCCCTGCTAAGGACATGGTAGCTGCCCCCATATCCTTCCATAAACAATAGCATCTCTATCTGTAAGTTTTATCTGTCCGAGTCTTCTCTGTATCTGCAAGGGAGAGAGAGTGATCTAAGTTGAAGTGTATTGTACACGAAGTATGAAGAATTTCTTCCTATTTGTTGGTGCAGAACAACTCCCACGCAAATCCTATTCGTAAGAACGAACTGGAGACAAAAAAAAAATCAAATGAACTGTTCCACAGAAAGAAAGCAATATTAGAATTCTCAGCAGTTTGTTTTGATGCAAAAATCAAAAGCTGAACCAAATCGAAAAGTAAAAAACAAAGCGCAAACTAAGCAGTGAAAAAAAGCAATAATACCCTGACACTGGCTTTCTACCCACAACCACCTCTTTGTCAACCCCTCTCTCTCTCTCTCTCTCTCACCTGACCTCCTTCGGAAACCGTGGAAAAATTCAAAGGGACCAATCGAATCCCCTCACAAGAGAAAACAGTTATGCATCTGCAGTACCGCAAAGTGCCCCAACTTCCCCAAGCCAAAGAAGAAGAAGAAGAAGAAGAAGAAGAAGAAGAAGAAGAAGAAGAAGAAGAAAAAGGGCACACCAAGCCTGGCCGCACACGTCAATCTGAAGAAAGCTTACTTGGGGGAAGCGGCACTGAATCCCTCACTTTTGTGCACGGACCCGGTTTTCCCGATGCCCAGGCGAGAGCGCAAACATAGCAGCAGCAATGGGACCTGGCACTTCGATGCAGATGCCACTTAGACACGTCCATTACGGCATGGGAATCGTGAACCTGATGGCAATCATGCTTATGCTCAAGATTTGGTAGGTGGCACGAACATAGCATCAGTGCGACCTGGCCCGTAGGGTGGTCTATACATTTCTCTATCCTCGAGTATGCCGGCAGTCATCCCTGCGATCAGGAGTCAACTGTCGCGGCGCAAAAAAAAAAAAGTCGCGTCAGACCTTCACGGCCGCCGAAATGAAAATTGTGCCATCAGTCCTCTGGGACATCCATTAAAATTGGAACGATAACTTCTCAGACAGAAGGTTAGCGTAACCCCTGTGGCATAACACGAGTAAATTTAGAAATGGTCCAAAAGGAAAAAAAAGAAAAAAGAAAAAAAAAAACCTCGTGACACATCCGATCTTGACCGTCAGATTCCCTTACAAATCCCCCTCATCTGCCCGATGCCGTATGAAGTCGAAGTCCTTGATGCAGGTTTGTCCAAGCTTCGCTCCCCTCCAAAATGACTACCCACTACGTTGTGGATCTTTGCGCACATGTCCTCCACTACGTCGTGGATCTTCGTGCACATGTCCTCCACTATGTTGTGGACCTTTGCGAACATGTCCTCCGCTATGTTGTGGACCTTTGCGCACATGTCCTCCGCTATGTTGTGGACCTTTCAGCACAGCCTCTGCTAGTACGTTGTGGACCTTCGCACACATGTCCTCACTATGTTGTAGATTTTCGCGCACGTCCTCCGCTATGTTGTGAACCTTCGCACACATGCCCTCTGCTTCCTCATCTCCGCCCTCGAAGCTGCAAAAAAACAATCCAGGCCAAGAAAATACCCAGATTTAGAAACAAGATTCCATTTACTTTTTTACGCCGTTTTGTGCATACTGCAACGAGGACCCTACCGTCTTCACGCGAACAGAATGCCTGGTCATTATAGCCATATCTGGTGCAATTTTCAGTCCAGATACAGCTATAATGACCGGCCGTTCTATTCGGGTGAAGATGGTAGCGGATGTGTCCCACCGCATCATTTGCCACATTCAGTTGGGAAAGACCGTATTTGACCTTGTTGTGAGCCAAATTCAATGGAGGAAGTCCTGATGCGGCCTTGCCAGCCAGATTCAGTAGAGACAGTACAACTTGAGTATGCCGTCAGACGCGAGGAGGACATGAATGCCACTCGTTGTGTCCTTAAGGGGATGATGAGAACCAATCGGAGATTAGCTCCCCATTGTACCCTGCCAACTGCACTTGGTCATGAGCACGGTGAGGTGCATGATGTCAACGACAATGCACTTGGTCATGTACATGGCCAGGTGCATGATAACAATGGAGATAACCCTACCGTTTATGGACGTCCCGGTCACGACAGCCATTGTGGCAATCGCATGCTTCCCCGTCGCCCTTTCTCTGCTGCGCTCTGAGCGAAAGGCCCTGAGTTGAAGCGCTTTGTGTTGCGCAGTTTTTCTTTGACAGAAACAGAATACTAAAACAAGTGGTGGTCCAAACTGACGGATGTCGAAAAATCAACAGATGAGCAGTGGTCGTTGGTGAAATGCCACTCCAACTCAGAGCTAACTGGTTCTCCCTGCAATCCGTTGAGGCGCAGCAATCAACTACACCTTTAATTGTTTTGTCAGAGTTTATATGTATAATGTATATATTGTCATTTATATATACGATATATCGTCATATATATATATATATATATATATCGTCACAAACAGAACTGCCCGGTAAACCGTAGGCAGAGAGAGAGAAGAGGACATGTCACATGAATATCAGAGCGCAAATGCGAAAAAAAGAAAAACAGGAAAAAATGAATTCAGTTTTTTATCTTCTTCCTTATAACTCCCCATGTTCAGAACCTCTTGCATACAAGGCCGCCCACGTGGATATATAATCAAAAATATATGTTTTGTAACTGGAAGATCAAAAGCTTATTGTAGAGACTTTGGAATATCTCGTCATACATCTCGGGAGATGGCTCATGCTCGTTTATTACCTGGACTTTTATATCATCGTCACAATCAGATAGCACAGAAGCTGCAAAAAGTCAAGAGCTTCAGATACATAGGAAAAGAAGGCGTGAAGAGGTGAGGAGAGAGGTGGTGGGGAAGGCAGTGGGAGGGCTTGGTGGGGGGGAGGGGGACAAGAGCAAGGGAAAAAGGTCATTGCATCTTTTCTCAAACAGATTACAATTACGAAATGGCATCAGACAAGGTGAGCGAGCACAAAAAAAGTGTGTGTGCTGTGTGTGTGTGTGCGCGCGCGCGCGCGCGAGA